GCTGTGCCGGTACCGCCGGGCTGTCCCGGTACTGCCAGGCTGTGCCGGTACCGCAGAGCCGGGAATGAACCGGGCAGGTTGGTCCCTGAAGCCGCGGGCAGGCAGTGCCGGGGGCTGCCGGGGGCTGCCGGGGGCTGCCGGGGGCTGCCGGGCTGGGCCCGCTCCTCCCAGCCCCGAAAGCTAATGAAGTCTATGTGCCAGCTGTTACACTCATTTTGCCAGACCCCAGGAGGACAGCATGAAGACAGTCAGTGATCAAAGGCTCTGGAGATCACTGAGGAGCCGAGCGGCAGGAATGTCTGATTGCTTTCTCTTGGAATGCCACAGGCTTCAATACCTCCTTTTTTTCTTTTTTTTTTTCTTTTTTTTTTTAAGGTGTCTTGGTGTGAGATTTAATGATCTAACTCAGCTTGCTCACGCTGAAGCCAGAGTATTTTACTTAATTCAAGGGGATTCATTTGCCCTAAATTTAGGTGGTTTGAAATTTTGTGGGTTTTGTTGTACTGATAGCAAGTTAAAATTAAATTTTTCTTGGTAATTCTAATAAATGACCTAGGGGAAAATAACCCAATTTGCTGAGCTTTGGGTGTTAAATCACATATGGCATTATAAAGTGAGGTGGGATGAATCGATTTTGAGTTGGTGCTGTTTAGGAAAAATGGGAAATCTGTGTATCCAAAGCTGGGACACTCCAGAGGGCTGTCACAGTGCAGCTGGCCCGTCCCTGAGGCTCAGTCACTTTTTCCTTGGGCTCCTTAGGAAAGGCTGTCAGCTCCTGGAGGCGGAGTGGGCAACCTGAATAACTCCCTCTGTTCCCGAGCGTGCTGTTTCCTTCCTCCTCCTCCTCCTCCTGCTCTACACAACATTTATAGGACCTGGAACATTTGGGTAGTGCAGAAACCCTTCCTCGTTTGGCTGTTCCTCGTGGAACAGCTCCCTGAAGGTTGGGAGACCGTTGGAGCGGGGAGTGATGGAGCAGGAGTGCATCCACAGATGGAGGTGGGGTGGTGGCTCTTGGGAAGGGAGGTCCTGGTGGTGTCCTGCCAGCTGGTCTGAGATGGCAGGAAGATGATTCAGGGAGCTAAACCAAAATGGGGATGAGATAATGCTCTTTTCATAGTGACTGCCCTCAGCTGCAAGGGTGGAGAGGAGAAGTTCACGGTCCAGTAAATAAATGGGGCAGGATCTCAGCTGTGTTTGGAAGGACACTGGAGCTTGGCACTGTGGGAATGCATGGAAAACAGCATTTTGTCATCTTTTAGAGTGTGAAACCTTATTTGGGGGTGAACTTGGGTAGGAGTGAGTTAATTTGGAGGTGAGGGTTAAGTTACAGTGCTAGGACCAGACTTGTGGAGCTGTACTTTGAAGACCACTGGTTTCTGGAGAAACAGTGACAGACGTGAAGCTTTGGGAAGAGACAAAGGGTCACTGCTAGGGCTGCAGAAATCCTGGCTGCTCTGGTGCCTGTGCCTCCCCATCTTGGCTCAGCAGGGTGCTTCAGTGAGCCCACGGGCTGCTCCCTGGTCCAGGATGAGCCATGTCATGACCCTGGTGACCCTGGTGAGGTCTCCAGGCCGTGTCATCATGTGCCAGCTGCCCTGCAGCATCCTGTGTGCCAGGCTGATGTGCCATTCTGCTGCTGGGGACAGCCCTGCTTCCATGCTGGGAAACCACTGCTGACCTGTGCCTTCCCCTCTGTTTGCAGTTAGAGGTGATGGTTTCTTTTCTTGCCTGTGCATTCCAGAGGTTGCTGGGCTGAAGCTGGGAGCTGCTGGATGCCTGTGCCCACAGCTCTGTGCTGAGCTCTGTCCTTTCATAAAGGGTCTGTGACAAACGAGGCACACAGCTAGAGCTGTGTCATGTGCAGAAATACTTCATCTTACTAATTACATCCAGAAGTAGCAGGCACACGTTTCTGGATGCCCCTGTGTGTGCAGTGTGCTTCCCAGGGGCAGGCATCCATTGGAATGGTCGGGATGACCCCTCCCCCTGACACAAGTCTGTTATCTTCCGTGTTTCCCTTGATCCATGAGCAATAACCTACTTTAGAGCTGACAAGGAGGTCAAGTGCTGCATGAAGATAACTGGAGGATGACTTTTAGGTGAAGAGGTCTGGGTGGAAGTAGGAGAAATGTGGCCTTTGCCATGCTCTGCCTTTCTGCTGGGCTGGAGAAATGGCCAGTGAAAGTGAAACGTGCATTTTTCTGATCCACAGAAACCACATCTGTCTCTAGTCAACCTTTAATATTATTTATATTAATAACTCCTTTTCTAGTTTAAAATGCTCAGACAGTGACACCTCTTACTTCAAAATAATTTTGACTATTTGATCCACAAGTGATGGAAGTACATCCTTCCAATCTAGGAATAGTGAACGGGGGCAGAGTTGTTCTGGGCAGAGCTCATCTTGGAGTCAAGAGCACTAAAATGGAGTCACATCTAACCAAGGTGCTCCTTTTTCACAGGACCCCAGTGACTGGTATTTGCTGTCAAAATGTCCCAGATTTGCTGTCAAAATAACCCCTTAGGGTTATTGAAAAGATGGCAAAGGGGAAAAATCATGGTTTTCCATCTCTAGGGCTTTTTAATAAAATATTGAAGAGACAGAGTTTCTCCATGGGATTTCTAAAGACCAAAAAAACTACAAGCTGTGTCTTGCCCTCTTCTCTGTATTTAACAAGAGGCTTCTGGAGCGTCATCATCTGCAGAAGAAAAAGAAAGAAGCATTTTTGGGTTATGTTGTGTGGCTGGCTCTTATCTTCCCCTGTGTTCCCAGATCTACCAGTGAGCAAGATGTTTCTGCCATCCCTTCAGAAGCAGATGTTGAGAAGCTTCAATTCAGATGCCCGAGTGTTGATGCTGAACAATCCTACTCCAATTAAAGACAATATTTTTCCTTTTTTTCCCCCCAGTCAGAGAACTTTGGTCTTTGTGGCTCGCTCTGTGTACTCACTGCTTTGCAGTTGATCTTACCACTCCACAAGCCTGCAAAAGCCAAACTGGTAGGTCAAAAGAGGAGTAGCTGTTGACACTGGCAGCGAGGAACATGTAAGGAGAAAGATAAACAGAGGGAAATCAGAGCCTGGATAAAGTAGATCTCCAAAGATAAAGTTTAGTTAAAGATAATGAGCTGGCCTTGTTTAAAAAGACAGCTGCAAAATAACCCAGTAGCTCCATGTGCTGGGGTTAAAGTTGACCCAGAATATACGTTTCATTGCTTTTGATAAATAAATAGTGGAGGGAAGATTTGGCAAAAAGCAACATTGCCCCCAGCCCTCTTCAGCAAAGTGTTTGATGTTAACAAGTTCTCTGGGTGTTTACTTTGTCCTCTGCGTGCGCTGGTGGAGCGGCGCTCCTGCCCTTGAACCGAGGGAGAATTCAAATAAACCAACCCCTTCGGCACAGCTGGGCTCTTCTGCCATCTGCGGCTTCCCAGAGCAGCCCCGGCTCGCCTGGGGAACCAGCCTGGGCCACAGGATCGCCGGGTCTTCCCAACAGCTGAAAGAAATTTGCTGGATCAGATAAAACTGCCCAGAAACGGGAGCAGAACTCCATAGCGTTTCTTGCTGCCCTCTCGAGCTGTCAGTGTAACCCTGAGTGCAGTTTGTGGGCAGAAGTGGCGGTGAGCAAACAGCTCCATAAAATCCAGAGTGATTCTTTCATTATGATTAGAGGCTTTTCCTGATGCTTAATTTGCATATATACTTTACAGTGATGCGCTGATGATAAAATATGGTTGTTTTTAAATAAACCCCAGGAATAATTTTGTTGTTGCTATCTGGATACAGCTTCTTGGAAAGCAAATGGCTCTATGAACACTCAGTAAACTGGGACTTTATCCTACCAAGCATGTGTATTGCTGCACTTGTTTCTGTGCTGAAGTAAAACTCCCAGTTATTGTGTGTGTGTTGGATACGTGTTTATATACGCAGCTGATAGATGAGATGTTTAAAGTCTATGTTGAGTGTTATCAGCAGTGGAACTGTATGGCCGGGCTGATAAATGAAGTAACTGTGCTAAATGAGCTCAGATCTTATCCATCATAGCATTTTGCAAGGCCAGTTGGACATTAACATGAGTGACAGCTGTGGATTTATTGTTTTCTTGGAGAAACCAGTGTTTGATTGAGACTCAGAGTGTCAGAAACACCATTCCTGAGACTCACCCCGGGCAAGTTCTGTTGCTGGTTCCATGATTTAATTTGTATTTTGCCGGTTTAACAATTTATTGTAGAGTCATTTAGGTTGGAAAAGACCTCTGGGATCGTACTTAGTTTGTGTTTTGCTGGTTTAATGATGTAGTTTTTATTTTTGATGATGAAAGTGGGATCTCACACAGCTGAATGGTCGTGTGTGATCTGGCCAAGGAAAGGACTGCCCTCTCTAGAAGCAGCTATGGAGATAAAAGTGGATATAATGCATACCACAAAAGGATATAGGAGAAAGCACCATTTTTTTGGGAATATAAATGAGAACAAGACTAATATTAGTGGTTTTTCATTGCTATGGTTTGCCTGTAAAGCCCAGCAGAAGGAGCCAGCAGATGACAGGTCTCAGTGAGCAGGTTTAGAGCAATTGAGAGCGGTAGCGGCATCGCAGCAGTAGATTCATAGAAACTTGTAAAACAAGTGCGGCCTGATGATAGATGGTCAAATGATTATTGTTTGCAAACAATATTATCTCCAATAGATAAGCTGTTTACTTTGGACTCCAGCTCCTCTGGGTGGAACAGAGTCTAATTTATCAAGGCAGAGTGGTTCAATGCGGATGCCTAATACCCCAGCTGTGGAAAAACTCTTACATTAAGAATAGTACTTGGAACCACAGTGAAGTTCAGCTCTAACTCACTTTTACAGATGGTTTCTATATTGCAAGGAATATTAGCTGTTTCCTGGTTGTGCTTTTTTTTTTTTTTCTTTAAACCCCAAACACTTTGTTGTAAGAGAGTTAAAAGACGAACTCCTGAAACTCACAGTAGACATGTGCCTGTTTGTTTTGTAGCTGTTTCCGTGCCTCATCTTAGTCTGGAGCTTTGGGCTTTCAATTTGGATAATCTGGCGCTATGCATCCAACCCCTGGGCGCTTCCAGGCACTGCTCCTCATTGCTGCCACCAGCCTTGTCACTGTCACCAGCACAGGTAAGATCTCGCCCAAGCTGGGGGCTTGGAGGTTTTGGGGTGGAGCTCAAACTTTGGAACAAGCAACGCTTGGGAGTGCATTTCAAAGTGGCCAGCTTTAATGGATATTGTCTAAGAGCTGCTTTTAAGGAAGCATGGAGCACTGAAACACAGCCTTACATTCAATATATGACTTTGCTTGTGAAAACTTGGCTCGGGACAAGCTCCAGAACATGGAAGACTCTGGGTTACGTGGATTTGTTCCTTGGGATCTCCGTGGATTCAGCTGGATGCCGGTTCTGCTGCATGCAGTGCATCTTGTGTTCCCAGGGGTTGGGAGGGGTTTGGATTTTCAGGGGGAGAGAGGAATCAGCCCTTTGAAATCCGAAAGCTGATTCGTGGCTGCAGTTGGAACAGCTCTGGTGTTAAAAAAAAGAGGAGGGATGGTTTTAATTGACACATCTGCTCTGTGTAGTCAGCTTGTCTTAACGTAACCACACAAAAAAGAAGCTTTTACTACTTTTAGCACTTCATAGCCAATCGTTATGAGCAAATGGGATAAATTTTATTTTTCAAGCAGTCATAGGAGATAAATTCCAGCTGCAGGGTCACTGCTACCAATTTTGCCTTTTACGCGAAGTGCAGTGTTGGTGTCAGAAGTGAGGGCAGGGGCGAAGATGAAAGTAGCAGTATGATTTCATAGCACTTGGTGGCAAGCAAACTGAAAGGTCAGTTCTTCCCTCTTATCCCTGGAAATTCAAACTGAACTAATAGGAAAAACAGTTTTCTAATTAAAAGCTAAAAATGGACATCTGGAGTCCTGCGAAATGCTTGGATACCATTTTTATGGATTTCATCTTTTTTTGTTAAGTGAAGCCACACTTTAATTTCCAGTTTTATTTTATGTTTATGCAGATAGTTTATGGTTCAGTTAAAAATGTGCAGTTTCTCATCTGAAACTCATAACCAGAGCTGGGATGGACTGACTTGAGAAGAAAAGCATGAACCCAGGGCCCCACCTATAAGAAAACTGTCTCTGACTTGGATGTCATTTAATATCATCTTGACCCGTACTATCTGGAATTCCTTAGATCCTTTAAAAAATAGAAGTCATTTTTCCCTGCCAACGTGTTTATTTTTAATTTAGTTTTTTCTCCTAATTTATATTACTTACCAATTAAGTATTACTGGTGTTAATTGTGTTTTACTTGCTTCCTTCATGCAAAATCTTTAGTGGAGAATTCAATAGAAAACAAATGGAAATACTTCCCAGTGTTTCATTGGCCAGGATAGGAAAAAATCTCTTCCAACAAGCAGGAATTTTCTTCTGGCAAATAAATGGATTCTCATAACCAAGTTCTGTGGAATTGAACCTTTTATTTATTAGCAGCTCTTCCTGTTTCTGTTCATCTTTACTCAGTAAAGATAATGGATGCCCAATTCATCATCCTTGTCCTGATGAAGTCCATGTATTTGGAATTAGCAAGAGCCTTTGCTGTTCGTCCAGCTTTTTTTTATCCGGCTATTTTTAATTAGTTCTGCAGACTTGGAGACGGTTCTGTGTAAATACCTGGCAGGCTCCTGCCATTTCTAGCATTTTACAAGTCACGTCCGGGCCTGCTTCATATGGGACAGATCAGCTACAGCTGCGTGTTCCTGTGCTCCGTCTCTTCAGGTGACGGGTGCTGTTTTCCTCTGGGTAAATCCAGTGGGATTGTAATTTTTGCTGGCCCTGGCAAGCATGGTGCCTCTGCCTTGTGCACACTTGGGGATGTACTTCCCCCTTACTGCACCTATCTCCGTTTAGTTGTTGTTACCCCCTTAGTGGGGTTTGAATCTTGATGTTTTCCCAGTGTTTGAGAGTGAGCAGGAATCTCCTGAGTTCCTTTTGCCAAGGAAGGGCAACACTTTCTTGAGTATCACTTGCAATTCAGAGTTTAGAGACCCTTTATATGGTGAGTCTTTCCTACCAGTCAACACATTGTTAACCTTATCACCTGTGTCCATGCAAAATCCTGGTCTCTAACTCAATATCTGTATATTTTTCCTTTTAGATATAACCCCCCGTTTTATTTCTGAGCCCTCGTCTACTGTCCAGAAGTCCGGTGAGCCCGTCCAGCTCCGCTGCTCTGCCGAGCCCTCCACAGCTCGCATTTCCTGGCTGTTTAATGGGGAGCCTCTGAACAGCAGGGTGGGAGAAGTGGAAATCCAGTCAGGATCTTTGACAATCGTGTCCCTGAGCCCGGCGACGTGCGGGCGCTATCAGTGCGTGGCGAGCAGTGGCGTGGGTGCTGTGCTGAGCCGGCCGGCCACCGTGTCCATGGGCAGTAAGTTCATCTGCGTTTCTGCTCTTTGCTCCTTGCCAATTCTCAGCTGACTTGTATGGTTTGTTCTTCTTTGACTTCTAGAAAACGCCTAGATCAAAATGTTCTGGGGTGGTTTTTTTCCTCGGCCAGTACTTAGAATGTGATGGATTGTACACGACTTGCCTTTTTTTAAATTACATCATCTGAGACCTGTTAGGTGATGTAGCCCTGGAACAGATTCCCCAGAAAGCTTGTGGATCCCCATCCTTGGAGACTTTTAAAGCCTCAGCTAGACCAAACCATACCTGATGGATTTAGTGTTGGTGTCAGCCTCATTTCGAGTTGAAGGCTCTCAAGGATCTCTTTCAGCAAACACAAATGTTATTCAATGAAATAATATTCATTTCCATGAATTGGCCTGAAAATACAAGATTCCAAAATGCTTCCCTTCACAAAGGATGTTGAAAGAGCAGCTGAGCTGCCATGCCATTGTAAAAGCATGCTTGGGAGTTGAGGAGAAATCTCTGGTAATTGTTGCCTGGGAGCTGCAGATTTTCATTTGATTTGATCAAACCGGTGTTGATGTTCTTCAGGTGGGGACAGTCTTCTCACCTCTTAGGGACAGCTTCTGTTCTCTTAGTTGCACTGGTTCTTCTGATCAGTCTTTGCCTTTATGCTTGATCTATAAACTCTGTGACCTCAAGGGATTTGGAAAAGGAAGGACAATGTCTTCCATGTGGAAAAGACAGTGCAGTGCTGAGAATGGGAGTACAATATTCCTGCATGAGCATGATTTGTCTGCTTGGGATCTGTGGGCTGTTTGAATCAGGTCTTTGTCAAGCAGGGTTTGAGTGATTTCTCTGGAAGGGTACCTCATCTATGGAGCATGTCCAAAATCCCCTTGGGAGGAAAATCTCTTATAAGTGTTTTGGTAAAGTACTGACCCATGGCCAGTCCCTCTCAAGAGAGCTCCAAGGGTGGCCAACATAAGAAAACTTCACAGCCTGAAAGAAGTTTGAACATGGAGGGAGTAGAAGAGCAGCTTTCACACTTCCCTCCTCCCTTGGAGGTTTTGGCAGCACACAGGAAGGTGCTGGGAGCTCTCTGCCTGCCTCACAGCACTGCTGTGTTAATTATCATCCCAGAAAGACAATTGCATGTTTTTATGGACAGGCTTCCTGCTGTCACTGTGAATTGCCTTCTGTAGTGCCCTCAGAGTGTGTCAGGAGTCCTGCAGCCTTTCCAGTGTCTCTGCTGGCTTTTCTGGGAGCAATTGAGGGGATGTAGGAATTATTTTTTCTCCTCACTGTTCCCAGGTAAAAGCTTTTTGTAGTAAGGAGGGTGGATAAGGAGGGTTTATGGTGTTATGGGCTACAGGATAGACCAGGCCTTTTGATGTGAGTGTCCAAAAGCTGCACCAGAGAAGATATTCAGCATGAAACCAGCTGTATTCTGAACACAAACACTGAGCTTACTGCCCTTCCCCTCTCCCAGGCCGTGGCTGCTCTTACCCTGTTCCCAACTCTCTCCAGGTTTAGCTGCCTTTGATGCCTTGGGGACGGCTGCCGTTGCAGCAGAGGAAGGAGGCACAGCTCTCATCAGGTGCAAGGTGCCAGAAAGTCACCCCAAAGCACAGGTTCGCTTCCAGGTGCGGGGGAAATGGCTGGAACAATCAACAGGTGAGGTGTTTTGTGCAATAGAAGTATCCAACAAAAGCTTGCCTAGAGTTTTTTCTTTGAACCTAAAGGAAAAAAACTCCTCTGGAAAGTTGCAGAACCTCCTGTGCAGATTACTTTATCTAAACCTACCCTTGGAAATGAGTCTCCTTTGCATGGTGGTTTCTTTTTGATCCTATATTTAGAATAAATAGGTGTAGCTGACAAATTAATTTTAAAAAATTACAAAAAAGGGAGATATCTTCTGAAACTAAATTAAATTTAATCCTCTTTTCACCTTCCCCACTTGCTTAGCCAACTACCTAATTCTTCCATCTGGAAACCTGCAAATTTTGAATGTATCTTTAGAAGACAAAGGATCCTACAAGTGTGCAGCATACAACCCAGTTACTCACGACCTCAGAGTAGAACTCACTGCACGGAAGCTCACAGTCACACGTGAGTATTCAGTTCAGCTTTCCAGAATTAATACAGCTCAAACAGAGTAAATAACATCCTTCTTTTAGCAAGAGCCTATCAGTGCCTCCAATACCATAGTATGTAAGATCTCTCCTGCATTCTTTGCACATTCAGTTCTTACTTCCCCTCACTGTGGAGGAGCAGCATGACTGCTTTTCAAATGCCAGGCAGTCACCTTTGGAAAGGGGATGCTGCTAATACTTCTGTCCCCAGATCAGTTTTGGAGCAGGACTTCTGGGAAGCAGTGTTACAACATTGTGCTCTGTCCCAAGTGCAGTGTTTGAAAGACATGGAGGAGGACAGAGAATGGGATGGGAGGGTGTGGTTTAAAAGCTTGGTTGGTTTTTCCTGCAAGGAAAAGCTAAGAGAATTGGGATAGTTCAGCCTGTAAAGTAGAAGGTTTAGGGGTGACCTAATTGTGACCTTCCAGTACCTGAAGGGAGCCTACAAGAAAAATGGAGAGAGAGGGCCTGGAGTGAGGGTGGGGAATGGCGCTGATGGAGAGTAGGTTTACATTAGATGTTGGGTCCCTGTGAGGGTGCTGAGGCCCTGTGAGGCTCTCTGCCAAGAGAAGCTGTGGCTGTCCCATCTCTGGAAGTGTTCAAGGCCAGGATGGACAGGGCTTGGAGCAGCCCGGTCCAGTGGAAGGTGACCAGACGCCCAAACCATTCTGTGATTCTATTCCACGATTCATCTCCTTTCCTCCAGGCCCTTCTTCAGGTGGCTCCCACATCCTTCACCCGCTGGCTCCCCAGAGCCTGGCAGTGCCCCGGCACAGCACGCTGACCCTGGAGTGTGTGGTCAGTGGGTCAGCTCCGGCCCCCATCCGCTGGCTGAAGGACGGCTGGGATGCGCTGAGGAGGGGCAGGTGGAAGCTGCTGCACTCCCACCTGGTCACGGACCGGCTCGAACCATCAGATGCTGGGAATTACTCCTGCGTGGTGGGAAGCGACTCTGGAACAGTGAAATATGTTAACTATTCGCTTACTGTACTTGGTAAGAATTAAAGACATTTTCACATCCAGGCAACAAACATACCCTTCACATACCTGCTAGTTTTGGCACCTGCTTCCAAACAACCTTGCATTCTTTCTCAACCTTAAGCATATTAAAATAAAGAATACAGATCTGTTTATAGTGACCATATCCCATTATTTCTCCCAAGTTAAAATCCGTAATTATTTATCTCTTCAAACAATTTGCAGTCTGAAATAATGAAACAGTGAAGGATAACAAACTCCAAGGGAAGAACTGATCCATTTGTTTTCCTGCAGAGTTCCAGTGTCAGTAATGTGCCAGAGACCAGATTTGCTTCTTTTGAGAGGTTGTATGTGAACAAAAACTGGTGAGGGAAGGTGATATTGAGAACATAAACAAAAGCAAAAGAAACATAATCATATATTTGGCCTCTTTTGTTTGGCTGCTAGTTGTTCCTCACCTCCCCTTTCCATTGTAGCAGATTTTCCTGGTATTTGAGTTTTTCTGCATTGACAGATTTTGTTTGGGTTTTAAAATGTGTATGTTGGAATTACTCAGAAAACAGGGTGTTGACACACAGCACACCTCTTTTTGGGGGATGTCACTAATTGTTTTGAAAATAGAAGTCTTATTTACAAGATTAATGCAAACATGTGGCTGTTGAAATAAAATGGAGAAACCACTCAAATAAGCCAATGCGTGGGAAAACCAGCTTCGGGCTGTGCAGCTTGGGGTGCTTGCTCAGCCTTTGGCTGTGACAAGCCTGTGTAATGTTTCACAGCAGTTTTTTCAGGACTTAGACTAAGTCATTTATGTAGAATCATTTCCCTTTTCCAGAACCTGCCTCACTCTCCAGGGGACTGCAGGACGAAACCGTGGCCGCAGGAGCGAGTGTCCATTTCTGGTGCGAGGTTGGCGGCAGCCCTGCTCCCACCCTCACCTGGCTCCACAACGCGGCTCCTCTCCGCCCCTCCCCACGACATTTCCCCACGGGAAACCACCTGCGGATCTGTGGGGTCACCCTGGAGGACTCTGGCTTGTACCAGTGTGTGGGGAACAATGGAATTGGGTTTGTGCAGTCCACGGGGAGACTCCGTGTCCAGCCAGGTAGGAGCACTTGCAGCCCTCAAGAACTCACATTAAGCATTTATACTTCAAGCTTTATTCTTTGTGGTATTTTTTTTTTTCCCCTAGATTATGTATTAATTTGTTTCTGACCACTAATCTTACAAAGAAGGTGCTTTCAGCTGGATTTTAAGAGGTGCAGGGATTTCTGGGGTAGTGTGGCTACTTGATGCTTAAAACCTGGATTATCAGCTGCAATCAAATCAGCTTATGATTAGTTTTGATGTGATTTATTCTTAAATAGAATCAGGATTCTGTTGTGCTGGATGAGCTGGTACTCCTAGTAGTATTGGCTGCTCCATAATCAAGTTTACTCAACAATCCCCAGGTTTGGGGTTAATGCAGACTTCCCCTCTATCAGATTGGCAGGATCAGGTACCAGTAGTCATTTTGATCTCTTTTCTATCTAAGATACCTTCTAATACCCAGGGAAGTGGATTTCTGCTGGCACAAGGATGCTGGCAAGACTGCTGCTGTCCCCATTCTCTCTGTTGTGTGTAGCTGAAGCTTTGAACCTTCTCTGGACCAGTTATGGTTGGTGTGAGCTGTGCAGAGCCTGGCTGAGCAGAGATTTCGTGGCCTGTGCATGTGTGGAGTGGACTAAGCCAGTCTTGCCTACACTGTGTTCCACACTGACAGTCAAGTCTTTGACATTTAGAGAATTTAAAGTGCAGTTTGAATATAGGTTTGTATCAGCTTTCTCCAAGGTGGAGTCTGTGCTGATGTCTTCAGACTGGAAGGGAGGTCTAGAGATGTGTAGAGAAGAAATAATTTTTTAAATGGTTAGAAGGAACCGCGTGTGATTTTATAAATTGTATTGACTTGTTCTGGCATTAAGTGTCATATCCCTTAGCTGAATTCATTCTTTGGTTGCTTTTCCCCCCAGGCAAAGACTCTGTCCCCATCATCATCTCTTCCCCAGCCAACACCACCGTGGTGGCTGGTGGGGACGTGACCCTGTCCTGCAATGCCACCGGCCTGCCCGCTCCTCTGATCCGCTGGTACGACAGCAGAGGCCTCGTGGTCAGCCACCCCACCCCGGGGCTTCCCCCCACAGCACAGAGCCCTCCCCCAGCAGGGCCAGAGCCCCTCTGCCCCTCGGTGCCCCGGGTGGGCTGGGGCTCGCTGCGCCTGCGGAACGTGACCGCGGAGCGCGCGGGGCAGTTCCGCTGCGAGGCCAGCAACCAGCACGGCTCTGCCCTGTCCACAGCCTTCCTTACTGTCGGTAAGTTGAAGCCCCAAACTTCCCTCTTGGCTCCCTCATTTAGGTGAGAAATGCCTCAAAACAAGAAATGCGTGGCAGGTGGGTGGCTGGAGTCTCAGGGAAAGGAAGGAGAGGAGTCTTGGTTGTCTTCACGGAGCAGTTCCTCCATCCTGCCTTAGGTAAAGGAGGAATTCTGTGTGCATTGCATGGACTTAGCATCTTCCATGTGAAAAAAAACTATCTGAGGGTGTGTTGGACTAAGCCCTTTTCTGACTCAGAGATGGGGCAACTGAGAGGACGAAATGCCTTTCATGCCTTAAAGTCAATTATCTAAAATTACCCCTCGTTAGGTCCTAATACAATGCATCTTTCATAGCCCTATTTCTCCAAAGTATCTAGTAATACTTTTACAAAACCATCCTTTAAAACTTGTTTCTATTTCCATTTCTCTCTGAACAATATCTGTCCTATTCCATAGCATTTCTAAGTCAACATTTCTTGTCCCAATGTTTACGTACAAATGCATACTATGTGAGCCTTCTGTCAGGTTTTGAGAATTTTCTACAAATCCATTTCCCACAAGGGTGGTATTTTTTTATTTATTTATTGAAATTGCTACTAGGAAAAGACAGTACTAACATTAAAGCAAGATGGGAAAGAGCCTTTCCTCACGTTGGAATATTATGTGACATTAATAACAGGTTTGAGCTCCCCCAAGTTTCCTTCACAAGAGCTGAGATACAGATTTTTAGTTACATGAAGTTACTTAAGTTTCTCAGCTCTTTCAGCACCTTGCCTCAGTTAATTTAGCTGAATGCCAGGGAGATTTCAGGTCAGTAGGATTTAATATGCGGCCCCATATTTAAGGTTCTTTGGTTAGAGTTTAAAACTCCTGTAAATAACATGAAAAGATGCTTAAAGGTTCACTTAGGGGAAAAAAAGAAAGAAGAAACCTCAAGAAAGTGATCCCATCATGTAGTTTTATAAATCAGTTATTTTTGGACCTTGCTGAGTGGAAAAACGAAACTAAATATCATCCCAGAATTCAGCCTGTGTTAAAGAGAAAAATCCCAGTGCTTTGCCTCAGAATTTTATGGCAGTGAGTTCAATTTTAATGCTTTGTTTATTAACTTTTATCGGTTTCTAATACGTTGTACTGGCTGCTGATTATGGTGCAGAGGGTGGTTAAGGCATTTGGTTTTGATATAAAAGTCTCTGAGGACTTTCTGGGAGCTGTTAGGGGTTTAGAACAGTTCCCAGCCATGCCAAAGACATGCTCAGACACTCAGCTGTTTAATGAAGAATTCCTGCCAGGTAACACTTCCGAAGCACCTGAATGACTTCAGCTGGGATTTCATTTCTTTGGTAGAAGGATCAGCTTAAACACCTCTCAGCCCGAGTACCCAGTCCCGTAATTTGCCTTGTCCCAGCACACAGTAAGAAAGCCCATTTGGCTGAAAAATATATCTTTTTTTTTTTTTCCCTTCTGCTGGATCTGTTCCAGGCTGTGATTCATTGCATGGTCTTACAGCGGGCAGGACAACTTCAGCTGCCATCATAGTGAGAAACCACCAAAATGTAAAATGATGCCTCAGGATCCTGTACTCACAGCTCTCCCTTTTTTGGGTCTTTTTTAGATAGTTGTAGGGTTGGTCTGCATGGCAGGAGCTTCCCAGAGCTACTGAACACAAGGTTAAATCTCCAAAATAACTTCATCTAATGGAAATAAAGGAGAAAAATACACTGCAGGCAGTCTGAGTAGCAGGAGAGGGAGTGAAAAACACAAGGAGCATTTAGTCTACACAGGTGGGTGTTTCAGGGACAAACAGGCTGAAGTTGCTCCTACAGAAACCTTAGAGAAGCTCTGAGAAGTCCTAATGCTCTGTTCAGGTTTTCAGAGGGCTTCCCCAGCCTGTGCTGAGATATTTGGAGAGCTTGGAAAGCAGGGAGGATCCTCTGGCTGTTAAAGGAGCAGGGAAGAAGTGCCTGGGAATGTGACCTGTTAGCACAGCAGATATAAAACCCGGAGCTGCTGGCTTTGCCTGGGGCTGTACCCTGGTCAGGAGGGGAGCAGGGGAACAAGCAAAGGTGCTGTAAAACACAGCAGGTGGGGGAAGGTTTCTGCAGGAGGAGAGGCTGAAAACGTGAGTGCTCTTCCCCTTCGAAATGAGGCAGCTGAAGGGGAGAAACAAGGGCAGTAGAGCTCTGGATATTATGGAATGTATGAGTTGGAGCCAGGCTGGGAGAGTTGGGATGGTTCATCCTGGAAAAGAGGAGGATCTGGGGAGATCCTAGACCCCCTTCCATGCCTAAGAGAGCTGGAGAGGATTTTCGTACAAGGGCCTGGAGTGACAGGACAAGGGGGGAATGGCTTCACACTGCCAGGGGTCAGGGATGGATGGGATATTAGGAAGAAATTCCTCCTTGTGAGGGTGGTGAGGTGACAGAGAAGCTGTGGCTGCCCTATTGCTGGGAGTATCCAAAGCCAGGTTGGGCTTGGAGCAACCTGCGATAGTGGAAAGTATCACTGCCCATGGCAGCGGGGTGGAACTGAATGGCCTTTAAAGTCCCTTCCAAATCAAATCATTCTAAGATTCTATGAATACATTCTTTTAATGCCCAAATTTTGGTCACTCAGTCCTTCTCCAGTTGCTGATGGCGTCAGGATTTTGGGTGCATGCAGCCTTTGGCCTGACTCAGTGCTGCTGGTGTTCTTGGTGGGATTGAGGGAGAGGTGAGCTGAGGGAGAAAAATCTCCATGGCTAAGGGGAAGAGGATGGCACTGAGAGCAGCAGCCAAAAAAAGTTGCATAATAACACAGCAGCAGAGAGAAGGCTAATGCGCTGGGTTATATGGGTAGTAATTATACCAGAAACTTTGCAAAAAAGAACTTTGATCTGAATTCTCAATGGGAATTGTTGCCCGGGGGTTGTTTTCCAAAGCAAAAATACAACAACCCAGCGGTTGTTGACGACTCCCCTCCTGCAGCAATAAACACAGCGCTGGCTGTGGGTCTGCTGTCACCAGCTGAAACCACAACTCATCCTCCACTCCAAGAGTCCGTGTCCCCAGTGCCAGCAGGCGCCAAACCAAACCGTGCCCACCCACATCCTCGGGGTCCACCACGGTGCTGAGGGCCTTCCACCTCCTCCCATTTGTTTCCAATATCACGCCCCTCCCGCTGCTCCACTGACAGCAGAGATACCCTTTCGCTCAGGGATTGTTCTGGGAGTGTCTGGCGTTTTAAGACCATCTGGGCTTTGGGGACATCCTCCCCACGTTGTTGCCTTCTTCCTGTCTCTGAATTTTGTGGCATTGCTAAATAAATGAGAAGAAACAAACAAGGAATGCTTGCCGAGAGCATGTCTTCAATTTGAAAAGAGAACTTTCCTTCCCAGCTTTTTAAAAAGTGGCCAAAAATAGCAGCCACACTTGCTGCTGGTATTTTAATGGAGGTTTGAAGGAATCTGAGTCAGCCAGGCTAACACTGCCTAGGCTTTACATTACCAAGGAATTTGTTTGTTTTGTAAACCAAGTTCCCTTCATTCCCTTCCCCTTCCAGACCCCGGCACGTAACATAAACCTACAAAAATCTGAAAGGACGGACAGGGCTCCGAACATCTGGCTGTCCCACTGCTGCTGTGTGCAGCCTTGAGGAGCTGTGCTGCTTCCCAAACCTTCTTGCTTTAAGTACTGATGTTTGCTTGTCCTGGATAATCTCAGATGTCCAACCTGCCACCCTTTTCCTGCATGAAATTCTGATGAGCCTTGCATCAGCTGAATAGGGCTTTTTTTTGTCTTGTGGTGTCTTTTAGAGTACTGATACTATATAGATTCCTTTTTCATACCAGCGAAAGTAAATAGGTTGGAGGAGGCTGGAGAAGGATTTCTAGAAATGTGTTGGTATTAAATTGCATGTAGATCTTCCTGTAAACTGAGTTTATTCTCAGCATAAATTTTCAAATGAAGTAGTTGAGTTGCGCAGCTTTCAAAGCTTTTCTAAATTGCAGCTAAAACCTCAGAAACTGGAGTAGGAGAATGTCCTCTTGTGTGCATGCCAGTGCAGGCCATGAAAAGTTCCTTGTACAACGACATACAAATTACTCGGTTTGTCTCACAAATTTAGCTATATACTTATTTATTTCTTTTAACATGCATTACCATGACTTAATTTAGTGGTGATACGGTCAAACTGTGCCTTTAGACCTTGAGTTTCAGGTTTTCTCCCTTTGCTACTGTGAAAAAAAACCCAAACCAAATAAAACAAACCGAACCCCACTGCTGTGCCCTGAAAAAACACCCAGGCCGCAGCTTGGCACCAGGCTCGGATCTGTGTGGGCACCTCTGGACCTGGCGTTTTGCAGCAGGGCTTGTTTGGAAATGTCACTCTGAAATGATTTAGTGTCCCCTCGGCACAGGGTGAATGTACGTCATCGTGGGGATGTAACCAGACCCTCCCTTTGCAGTTCCTTCAACAACTGGCACGAGAGCAGGAGAAACATCTCCTCTGGAGCTTGCCCAGAGCGACGAGAGCGGCAGCGATGTTGGTGCAGAAACGGCATTTTCAAGCTCGCCTCCAACAAATTCTCCTCTGGACGCTGCTGCAATGGAAAAAGCGTCGAGCGCCGCCGCCCCGCCCGAGGCCCCCATCATCCTGAGCCCCCCGCAGACGCCCAAGCCGGACACGTACAGCCTGGTGTGGCGGCCCGGCCGCGCCGGGGGCCTGCCCATCAACGCCTACTTTGTCAAATACCGCAAGGTACCGTCCCCAGCCGTGCACAGAACACCCCGCGCGTCTGGGGTGTCACAGGAGCCAGCAGAGCTGCTGTGCTCTGGTGGGCGCTCGGGGCTGGTGGCTCAGCCTGCCCAGAGAGAGGTCCCACAGGAGAAACTTCCTAGGGGTTCAGGTAGTCCTTCAGCTGGTAACCTCAGCAAGGGGCAGGCAGCTCAGCTCAGAGCACTGATTTCAGCATCAGCCAGGGACAGGCAGCTCAGCTCTGAGTACTGATTTCAGCATCAGCCAGGGACAGGCAGCTCAGCTCTGAGCACTGATTTCAGCATCAGCCAGGGACAGGCAGCTCAGCTCTGAGCACTGATTTCAGCATCAGCCAGGGACAGGCAGCTCAGCTCTGACCACTGATTTCAGCATCAGAAAGAGCCAGGCAGCTCAGCTCTGAGCACTGATTTCAGCATGAACAAGGGCAGGCAGCTCAGCTCTGAGCACTGATTTCAGCATGAACAAGGGGCACACAGCTCAGCTCTGAGCACTGATTTCAGCATGAACAAGGAGCACGCAGCTCAGCTCTGAGCAGTGATTTCAGCATCAGAAAGAGACAGGCAGCTCAGCTCTGAGCAGTGATTTCAGCATGAACAAGGGGCAGGCAGCTCAGCTCTGAGCACTGATTTCAGCATGAACAAGGGACAGGCAGCTCAGCTCTGAGCACTGATTTCAGCGCTGCCTTGTGAGGTGTCCCCAGGCTGCAGGGACAAAGAGACAGGAGCGCCGTGTAGCAGTTCCACAGAGCTAGCCTTTATTCCAGCGCCCTGAGAAGGAGGCCAGGGATGACACCTCCATCCCAGGGCAGAAATTGGGGTTTTTTTGGGGAAAAGCAGGGGTGATACAAAGGAGAAAAATCCAACGGGTTACAAAGAATCTACATGGGACCCCCAAAGCAAGCTGTGAACTCACCATGACCAAGGAGGGTTTCTCAGTCCAGGAAGGTTGAGATGATCTTAGCACAGCTCATTCAAGGGACATCTCTCCAAGGGAGAGGTTTGGCATGCTTATGTCTCCACACTGGTGTGAACCAGGACATGGGTTCAGGCCAGGCAGAACACGGCGTGTAGCTGAAGCACAATGTGCCCACACAGCGTGTTTGAGGGATGGCTGACATTGTCACCAATACACTGCTCTGTCTAGTTTTAAGTGAGAGTTTTCCAGGCTTTTCAGTCCTGTACAGTGTCATTAGGGAGAATGGGGATTCAGGGTTTGGGTGCAAAATCAGTGGGGTTAAAAATGCATTCAAATGTGAGGCAGCTTGAATCTGTGTGTGACAGCAGAAGGAAAGCTGAGCTTTACCTTAGTGCATCACCAAGTTTGCTGCTCTGGGTCCCAAAGGGACTCAATTAAACCGAAGTTATCAAATATGTAAGTGAACTGAAATTTGCAGGGCAGTACCTCCTATGGCATTAAAAATGGTGTGTCAGCACTGAGCTCTTTTGCTTAACATCACATGGTGGAAATCCTGGGGTCTCCTGTGCAGAGCCAGGAGTTGGACTCCGTGATCCTTTTGCGCCACTTTCAGCTTGGGAGGTTCTGTGATTCTAAAATCAGAACCAAGCAATGCCTGTGTCTCTTCTTCCAAGCAAACCAGTTTTCTGCATGGCAAAGCTGTTTGATTTATTTTTCATAAGCTTTTTAATCCTCTGCATCCTGATCTTGTCTTAGCCTGGAGGGAATGCTTAGATTTTTGACCTGTTGGTTCCTGAAAACCAAGTGCCAGAGTTTGTTGGTGATAATTTCTCATCCAAAGGTGGTTGGTTCACATAAGCCCTGGAAGCTCTGAATTTTTTTTTTTGACCTTTTTGATGCTCTCCCTTCTCTCACACCAATCCTTTCCACATTAAATGTGTTCATGCATTTCTCGGCACCGAATTTATCCTGTTTTTAGGGTGGTGCTCTCTTTCTGTCATTAAATGATTTTATTGATTTCCCTCTTTTAATAGAGGAAAAAGAAGTTGGGGGAATAAAAGCTTTGGAGTGGCTGCTGTAGAAGAAAACAGTTGAACAAAGACCTCTGGCATAACCTTTGATAATCCACAGTGTTTAGATCTGCCTCCAATGTTTTATTAAAGTCTTATATTGTTTAGTAGTTTATTTTTGGTGGAATCTTTGTCTTTTCCTTTGGGATTTGGTGTAATGTTTTCCTGCAAAGGTCAAGCATTAAGAGACTACCAGAATGTCTTTCTTTTCTTTAATGGAGCTGGTGATTTCACTGCTAAGTTAAAAAGTGTTTTGTTTTTTAAAAAAAGTAACGTGCATTGGTAAACGCAAATCTTTGGTCTCCCTCCTGACTTTTTTGCCATCCTTAAGGAGTAACTAAGACATACTTTTTGTTGCCCATTTTAGCCAATAAATATTTATAAATGCTGAAATAGAGGGAAAGCTGGGCTAGTACAGGGAAATTGTCCTTCTTGTTAGGGTATTGGGTCCAGCCCTTTAGTAGCACACAGCTGAAGGCTGAAAACCATTTGGGCTCTTGCAGTTTTAGCCACAAGTGAAAATGACAAAAAACCCAGTCAAAACCAACTCCGTGTATGTGCGTGGAGAGGGAAAATAAGTTTATCCAAGAAGTGCTGTCATAGTGGGTGCAAAGCTGCTGATTTGTAGTAGAAGCACTTGGAGACAAACCGTAGGTAAATGTAGGAGAACAGCAGGAGTTCTGGTGAGGAGCAGAGGTGCTTTGGTGCCTGTGTGTGGAGCAATGCAGGGTTTGAGCAGTCCCCAGTTCTGAACATGCCATTTCTGCCTTGTGGTTTCTCCCTTGTGAGCAGCTGGAGACAAACCACAGGTACATGTAGGAGAACAGCAGGAGTTTTGGCGAGGGGCAGAGGTCCTGGGGGTGCAGTGCAGGGTGTGAGCAGTCCCCAGTGCCAAGCACGCTGTGCTGACAGTTTCTCCCTTGTGAGCAGCTGGAGACAAACCACAGGTACATGTAGGAGAACAGCAGGAGTTCTGGCGAGGGGCAGAGGTGCTTTGGTACCTGTGTGTGTAGTGATGTGGGCTGTGAGCAGTCCCTGGTTCTGTGTGTGCTGTGGTGACAATTTCTCCCCTGTGTGCAGCTGGAGACAAACCGTAGGTACATGTAGGACAGCAGTTCTGGCGAGGGGCAGAGGTGCTTTGGTACCTGTGTGTGGAGCGGTGTGGAGCGATGTGGGCTGTGAGCAGTCCCTGGCTCCGTGTGTGCCTTGCTGACAATTTCTCCCTCGTGAGCAGCTGGAGACAAACTGCAGGTACATGTAGGAGAACAGAAGGGGTTCTGGCGAGGGGCAGAGGTGCTGGGGGTGCAGTGCAGGCTGTGAGCAGTCCCTGGTTCCGTGTGTGCCGTGCTGATGATTTCTCTCTTGTGAGCACCTGGAGACAAACCACAGGTACATGTAGGAGAACAGCAGGAGTTCTGGCGAGGGGCAGAGGTGCTGGGGGTGCAGTGCAGGCTGTGAGCAGTCCCCAGTGCCACGCACGCTGTGCTGACAGTTTCTCCCCTGTGTGCAGCTGGAGGACGGCGTGAGCCCGGCGGGCGGCTGGCACACGGTGCGGGTGCCCGGCAGCGAGAACGAGCTGCGCCTCACCGAGCTGGAGCCCTCCAGCCTCTACGAGGTGCTGATGGTGGCCAGGAGCGCCGCGGGCGAGGGCCAGCCGGCCATGCTGACGTTCCGCACCAGCAAGGGTAGGTGCAGCACAATGCGCCCTGTGTCCTGGCCTTCCAGAGACATTTATTTAATGACATCAGTCATTTAATGGCATCTGCTAAGCCATATGTGGAATATTCTGCAATTTATTTGCTAAAGAACAGCCTCTAATAGCTAAAATTGCTGTAGGGCAAACTTCCTTGAGTGTGAGGCTGTTGGTAAGTAGAAGCTTTTAAAAGCTTGATAATATTATTTTTGGGGTGATTGTTAAGATTTGTACTGTGAGGTTTCTCTTGCTTTAAGGATCAAAGTTGGGAGCAGCCTGTCCTTGTTGATGTTTTTAATCACAGAAGAAACTCTGCACCATTGAGTTTTCATGTGTCAACAAAGCTGTTCCTGGTTTGCTTTGCAGACACCTCAGTGACAATCTTTGCTGACCACAAGCCAGCTGTTCTGATAGTTGTGTGCAGACAGCAACAAGCACAACACTCCTAATCAGAGCATTTTTTTTTCTCAAGCTTGGACACTGGTGCCTGTGCTCTTTAGCACACAAACAAGTAGATATTTTTTGTACAACTGCCCAAGAACGGCTTTTAAGTGACAGAGGGTAGGGTTAGATGGGATATTTGGAATAAATTCTTCCCTGGAAGGGTGGTGAGGCCCTGGCACGGGGTGCCCAGAGAAGCTGTGGCTGCCCCATCCCTGGAAGTATTCAAGGCCAATTTGGATGGGGCTTGGAGCAACCTGGGATAGTGGAAGGGTGTAGACCAAGATGAGCTTAAAGGTTCCTTCTGACTCAAACCCCTCTGGAATTCTATGAAGGACAGGATAGCTTAATTTTTTTAAAAGAATTTAATGTCTTCATGAAATTTGTGACACATACTTAGATTCTTTGCCCTATCTGTCTTTATCATCATCCTATCAATGGACAGATACAAAACTGATGGCCCTCAACCTCTGAAAACCTCTCAGCTGCTAAAAAAAGTCAACAACTCCCTAATTGTGACCTACCCACCCCCCAGAACATTTCTGCCTGATGAAACTTTGGGTCCCAAATCCTGGCTGACCTACTACTCGCCCTACACGGCCCAGCAGACACAGACCCAGCCTGCAGCACCCTTGGCCACACACCCAGGAATGCTCAGTGTGGCTGACTGGTCCCTCACCTGCTCCAAAGGGAGCCTCATTCTTCATCTGCATCCATCAGCACGCTAGATGAGGATTCTATGTCTCCTACTTACACTAACCTCTAACACAGGAGTCCTTCTCCTGCTCCCCCTTCACAGGCTGTGTGCTACATGAGGCCAAACACCATTTGGAGAGGCCACAGCCATCCATCCCCAGCCTCTTCTCAGCCTTCCCCCTCCTTGCACAGACCCCCAGAGGATGAATCTGAGAAGAATTCTCTGTAGAAAACCCCACACTTACCTGATTTTTTGTGCTACACCTCCTCCCTTTATCATCACAGGTGCACATTCCTCTACCCCACCTTTCTCCACGTGTCGGGTTCAAACAACCCCCAGGGGATTGTACCAAACTCTGGCAAAATCCCATTCCACCCATACTTTTCCATAAAAGACAGCCTAGTGTTCATACTCGTGTTCCTCCTCCTGCTAACCCTCCCAGCGTACTGGGAGGCCGAGAAAGCTTCACACCAGCAAAGCCACTTGTCACAGCCCATCATATTAAACCCAGGTGATGCTTCCTCTTCACTGTGCTGTGGTCAATCCCTGGCAAACTCGGGGAGTCAGTGCTGCCACCCCTGCCTGGCTCCACACCATCCTGCCACCCCTACTGCCACAGGTCAGAAGCCCTCTCAGCCTGGTGTACTGGCTCCAGCTGCTTCCACAGCACTGTGACTCCTTCTCTAGGCATGGATTTCAGTAATTTTCAGTAATTTTCCCCATCTGGTGATGTTGTGATGAGTGGGTTTGGCAGCACAGGCAGGAGCTGGCGGCATCACCACTAAGCACTGTGGATGCCAGCACTGCAGATGGGCAGTCACTGACCCACAGCCAAGTGCCTGGGTGGGAAATCTCTCTTGCTCTCCCAGAGAAACTCCCTGGTTGCTAACCTGACTGTCCAGCTTGGGATTTGAAGCCAGGGCAGCACAGGAGAAAGTGACCTTTTAGAGTGAGCATTGACAAGCAGCATTTCCTTATGCAGGCCCTACACTGATGTACTGTCTGTCAAATCTTCTTAGAAAGAACATCATCCTCGAAAAACACACAGGCTCCATCTCCACCCGCAGGAATCCCCAAACATCCCATTGTTCCTGAAGGCACAAATAATTTCGGTGTCATCCTTCCGGACCTGTCTCGCCACAGTGGAGGTAGGAGTGGGGATGGTTTGTGGTTTGGGCACTAAAAGTTGTGTTGCAAGGAGCTGTACCTGAGTTAACCTGTGTTTATTACTGCTCCAGGTGCTTGTATTGCCTCTATTTCCTGTTTATTCTGAGGTTACTCTGTTACATAGGATATTTCCTAGGATGCTGCTGCCTGCATGTGTGGCTCTCAAAAAACAAGAGCAGTTTCCCTTACAATCCATGTTCTTACTGCTCATTTTTAAACCTGTTGTTTCTTTTTGCTAAATACTCTGGTTTTCTTTTTCCTTCCACTGAGAAAGAGCCAGAGGAAGAGGAGATGAGAAGTGACTGTGTCAGAGCTTTAAGTTCTCAAAGTGTGTGATATCTGTTCTGAATATTTTCCTGTGGCTTCCCAGGGACAGGCTTATTTCTGATGGTGAGGAGATATAAGCACTTCCCAGTAGATGTGATTTTGGCCCAATTTCCAGTGAAAAGAACATGTTTATAGTCCTTTTTCTCATCCCCCTTCCCCCAGCCTTTGAAGTCCTTGGCCTGGTTGAGGCAGATTTACTCAGGGGCTGAGATCTCAAAGGTATCTAAAATCTGGGGTAAAGCCAAAGGTGAGTGGAGAGGTTTAATCACATGGGCAAGGAGCTGAGCTTGTGGCAGCACTGAATGTCAGAGAAGCCACACAAGGCCTTACTTGTGCCTGGCTGCAAATGCTCAGCTGCTTCATGCCCCAGAGCTGCCAGCCTGCTGCTCCTTGCTCCACTCCTCAGCACCAGCTCCATGTACATGAATCCAGGCTGGTTTAGTAAAGCCTCACAGCTCTTACAGCCAGATTTACTAACACCCCTCTTTCCTTTCTCTGTCCCACTGCTGCCTGTAACTTCAGTGAGTTCCGTAAGTACATCCTGGTGCATGCTTTGTTCTCTCCCTTCTCATTTCT